CAAGAAGAATTCGTAAAAGTTTTTAAGAGTATCCGTACGAATTCGATACAGTTCGCATCAATTCGGTACGAATTCACAAAATAAGGGTAAAACGCGAATTGTTGCATCATTTTTACGCTTAAAAAATTGCGATTCGTCAATTCGTCTTTCGACACTTTGTCTACACATCTCATTGTCGGCAGCTCTATTTTAAATTTTTGCAACTGTTTGTTTTCAACAAAATATTAAACTTCCTATATTGATGACTTTTCGACAACAGTATATTAAATAAATTGATTAAATTAACTTTCTCTTAAATTTTTCCAACTGTTTATGATACAAAAGATTTAATGGATAAACTATAAATGTGCGCTCATGTTTCCTACTGCTCAACTTTTCCGTGCTCATTTTTCTGTGCTCAAGTTTCTTCGTGCTCATGTTTCCGGTTTCCAGTGTTCACACGAGGACATAAATAAAGTGTTTCTTTTCAGCCAACAATAAGAATGATTCTGTTAAGCGATGAGATACTAGTACGAATCTATTAAAGATGCACAACATGCCTAAAGGCATTTCCGAAGATCTTTCTTTGCTAATATAAATTTTGACACTTTCTGAGACAAAAGAACTCATCCATTTCACAGATTAAATACTCTGACGAAAGTGAAAAGACTCGTAACAGTTACTGAAAACTTTTGATTCGTGGTTACAAATTCAAGGAAAAAGCAAAAAGTTGAAATACTTGGAAAAATATTCTTTTGCACTGGAAATACAAGTACAAATATTCTGATCTTTATTCCCGTTCCTGAGTCACTGTATATGTGTTTTATTTTTCTTTGTCCTTTTATCATATGTTTCTTGTCGTCGAAACTTTGTTCTTTTCTCTTCGTCATTTGGCGTCACTGTACGAGTATGTCATTTTTTCTTGTTCTGGCGTCATGGCTTTTTTCATAGAAATCTTCGCTATTTGTTATCGGATTGTGTGCACATTCTGTTCTTCCTATTCCTATATAAAACGCACAACTCTATGCCACATTCGTTTTTCTTATTTTGCAAAACGACATTTTTTTATAACATTACAATGACCGTCCGTGTCGTGTCGTATAATTTGTTGGTGCCCATTTTGGCTAATCGACCAGAACATTACCCTAAATGTCAACCTGAATTTCTTCAAACTGACTATCGATGGAACTTGATTCAATCTCAGTTAGAACAAGAGATTTTCCAACATGAAAACACGGTTATCTGTTTACAAGAACTCTCTCTTCCTCTGTTACCCAGACTCGAATTATTTTTCCGTGGATTGAACTATAGTTTCTTCCATAATCTTTATGGTCAACGACATGAGGATTATATGGGTGTTGGCATAGCAATTCCAGTTTCGATGCAGCTTAACTCCATTTCTATCATTAAAATTGGAGATCATTTACGCTCGATGAGTAAACTGCGTAAGAAGGCGAATCTCTTTAAATGGGGATGGGATCTGTATCAGTTTGTCATGAGCAAATTCATACAATTTGCATCTGATCCTTGGGAAACTGCCATGGCCAGAGCCAATGCACTCATTTGTTTACAACTTGTGATCGATGATAAACCATTATGTATTGGTACGTACCACATGCCTTGTCTTTATAAAGAGCCCGAAGTTATGGCGATACATTCTTCTGTGGTGAAAGATTTGATGTTTCAATTGGCAGCTGGCAAAGATTTTATTCTAGCAGGTGGCTTTAATATTAAACCGTGGGATATCTGTTACCAAGGTTTAACAGAGAAGGGTTATGTTGGTTGTAATCTTCCAAAATCCAGCACTTATGAGATCTCTTATAGACCTAACGCTGAACAAGTATTGAAGAGCGCCTATCGAGAGAAGAATGGAACGGAACCTGTTTATACAGATTTTTCTGACACACCACATTCACCAGACTTTTGTGCTACACTTGATTATATCTTTTTTGTTGGACGTATCATGCCCGAAAAAGTGTTGGAGTTACCCGATCATCCTGCGAGTGAATCTTATCCTGATGATACACATCCTTCGGATCATCTGATGATTGCAGCAACATTCCGATTATTGTAATTTTAGAAAAACGTTTGTACTTTTCTAGCATTATTAGCAAATTAAATTCATACTTATTCAGGATATCTAAATTTTTATACATGTTCAATGAGAAATACTTTATATTACGCAAGCAAAATAATAATAATCCTTTTCAGAACGCCTAATAATACAGGTATCACTAAAAAACCAACTTAATCTGAACCAAGCTGAACCGAACTGAGCAGAAATGAGTGTAATTAATATATCAGTTAATTAATTAATCAAATTTCACTTATTTGTTTTGCCTCGACATTCCGTTTCTATGGTTTGAAAAACCACAGGTCTCTAGCTTTTTTTGTTCGAAACTTATTAGAAAAACACTTTCTATTTCTGGTATCAGCAATCAAATATTTTATCAATATAAAATAGATCACTTGGACGAAAGGATATTTTCACAAATAATTTTTATTGTGCGACAGTATTCATTCGTACACAACCGCACCGAGTATTTTCGAATACATGGTTGAGACGGAATCTATGGACATTATTGTCATATTCTTTATCCACAATCATAACCCACTGTAGAACTTCACTCAGATCTTTTACACAAAATTCATCTCGATTGTTATTTTCATGTAATAAGTAGATAGTATCGTAATCTTTCCACCATCGATCACTATTTGAGATGGCATGAACTTGAGATCGAGTAACTTCTTTGACTTTGCACATCAGCACAGACAATGGCACCATCATGACGTGCTTTCCTATACTAGAGATAGAAGAGCGAAAAAGAAAATCGATGTATTTTTGCTCAGAATTTTGTGACATGATCTTCTATGGTTTTTCTGGAAAACTCTAGTCCTCATCCAGTCACATTACGACATTATGACTCAATCCAGTCCAAATTTCACCACAAACACTCCAGATCCTACTTCAGGTTGTAAATTTGTTTTTCTCGAAAAATATGCCTTCATTCGATATATGAAAATATCGAATGAATTGAAACCCTCAGAACAAAAAGAAACAATATATTATGTGTAAAAGGTAATAATGCCATTAAGTACGAAGGCCCGAACCCCTACCAATTATGAAATAGAATCAGTTTATGTTGGCGAAATAATACTTCAAGTGGTGTCCGATCTAACACCCCTAGGACTTTTGTAGTATCTGCGAGGTGCAGTGCATCGGTAACTAGTAATGTAGCTCTATATTGCAATCGAGTTAAGCATGTTAGGTTTGCAGCATACGTGCTTGTATACACATAATCACCATACGCGATTCTAAGCAAAATAAAAGATTTATAAATCTGGCCAAGAACAGAAGTAGAAAAATGATGTTTGATTTTTTGCATCACATATAACATCTTATTGCATTCGCTTAAGATGTATCTAATATATAATTAATTATTTATTAATTTAATAAAAGTCGTTTCTGGGAAACAAAACAAAACAAGTCATAATCGGAAGTAAATTTCGATTCCTTTTCTATTCTTCTCAATTTTCAACTTTAAATTAACATCTGTTCACTTCTTCTTTTTCTCTAGCATTTGAAAAAGCTGATCCTGATCTGGGGAAGTCAAAAGCTCTTGAGGATTGCAGATTTTCCACAGTTCCTTAAAAATCATAACTCAAATTTTCTGTCCTTTAGCAATTATTTTTGAATTTTTAACCAATTATTACCGTCAATTCCTTCAAATTGATTGAAAGATACAGAAGGACAAAGTCAACATTTATTGTTTTTATAAATAATAGTTAGTTACTAAAATAAAAAGTATATATTTTTCACTTTCTAATTTCTGTTTGACAGACGCAGCGTAAATATTACAATGTAGCATTAAGAAAGAATTACATTTTTTGATTCTCTATAAAAACAGTAAATTCGTTAATCACTTTGTCTGATTTGAATTCGGCCTGTTTCCCTCTTTTTATGATTTAGACGTAGCGTTGATTGTTTAAGGAGCCGACAGTCTTCTGTTGTTTGCTAGAAGTGCTTTACAAGCAGAGCAATGCTGTTGATGAAGCTGCACCGATCTGCCGATGTGCCAGGTATTTTGAAATTGAATGGGTCACACCAGATGGTGGGTTTCAGTTTATCTCAAAATGTTAATATTTCCTGTTCGAAAGAAAAGCGACTAGAGATAGGCATAGATCCAGAGTGATATTTTTGTCAATAAAAGCGAAGAAGAGGACGAGTGCTTGTGTTTTGTTTGAGAATGATCTCGAAAGCGAAACCCTCACGCTATTCTTCTCCTACGATGTTGCTGACAGACCGTATAGTGTGCCCTGTCTCTAACACGCACGGAATCAGTTTGCTTTCTTTTTGTGTTTTATTCTTAACACCTGATTATTGTCTTAGACAGATCGAGAAAAACTATTCACATACACACATATGACTTTTCTGGCTGTTGTTACTGTTGTAGGCTGCTGGACTTTTAGTATTTCCTTTAGCATTTCCAGAAGCAATTCCTTACTGCTATATTAGATGCATTTAATCTAACTTTCATTATTAGCGTTTGTTATTTGTCATTATTTAAGTCTTTACAATAAAATAGTTCTTGATCAAATATTTGACACAATATTGAAGTACGCTCTTCCCGTCCTAACCGTCTGTCATTCAATGTTCCGTTTCTTTTCAACATATTTGAATATTTCCAAGGCTATATTTGTATACTGATACCGTGGCTTTTCTATAAACAGCAGTCTTTCTGGATTTTCGTGTGATGTATTAGGTAATGCAGATCTGTTGGTAGTAAAATCAGTTAATTCATTTCCTAGTGAGTTACAATGTCCAAGTATCCAGTATAAGATAACTGAGCAGCCTCTTCTATTATTTAAATACTGTATTTAGTTGGTTTTTTGTATAAAATACGATTTATTTTGGTTGTATTTATAAGCTTGTAATGCTGCTTCACTGTCAGACAGAATATGAATTTCCTTTGGTACCTTTGGTTATTATATTAGATAACATATGGATAACCATGTGGATAGCATTTTTTTTAGCTTAAAAGTGTGAAAAATATTCTCCAATATATCTAACGTTTTCATATTTAATGACCTTATCAATAAGTGTTGTTGTAACTGCTGCTGCTGATTTACAGCTCATCATAGAACCATCACAATACAAAATAAGCTAATCTGTAGGATTATCTTGTTGTCTCAATAACAATAGTCTTTCATTCTCAAATGCATCATTCCCATCAAGAATATTTACGTTAGTCTTTATTGTACTTATTAAACTAACCATTGATAATTCATTATGTTGCATCATAATTGACGCTTTATTATTAATATGATCTAGATGTGTGTCCAGCTCGTTCATTAAATTAAACAACGATGATCTTGTGTTGTTATTTTTTTTAAGAAAGACTTTTTGGAAAATATGTGGCGATTTACGTATTTTGATCACCACAGCTTTTTTCAGTCTTTTAAATTTTAGTCGTAATTCAGTTAGTAGGATGCCCACTTCTGTCTCCATAGCACTTAGTGCACAGTTATTGTCGGTACCAGTTGCCACCGTTAGGGATGTTCGGTTCTCGGTTCTCGCTAAGAACCGGAACCGCGGTTCGGTTTTGCGTGAGGAACCGGAACCGCGGTTCTCTTGTTTTCGGTTCTTCAGCTGGAACCGGAACCGCGATTCTCTTATTTTCGGTTCTTCATCGG